AGAATCCAAACTTTAAATACCTATTCCCAATAGTGTTTCCAATACTATGTGGGATTGAGAATTACCAACATTCTCCCACTAATGCGAAAGAATTCTTCTGAAACTCAAAAACAATCTTTCCAAAAGAGCAATAGCGAGATTAGTTGCTTAAGCACTAGTGAACGTATCTGGAACTAGTATATAGTGATGATGGGCAATCCTTCTCTTAGATAAGTGAAACTAGTCTTCAACTTTCTAAGATGGGGGTAAACTCATAACACACAACTAACCCCTTCATCCACCTGAGTTCTTGATGTGTAAGATATATATATACAAAAGTATATATTTGGCCATCTTAACTCAAGATTCTAGTAAGTGTGCTAGAAAAATGACCCAACATTTTTCATAGAAGGCGGCTAACCCTTCTCACTTACATAGGTTATTTTATCAAATTTATCTCAACATAAACCACCCTTAACAGGGATATGAAATAATTAAGAGCTTTTATAATAGTTCAACCTCACAAAGGGTATGGTGACTTTCTTCAAGTTCATTATTAATGAACCACCAAAAACTCTGGGATAAGAAGTCATTAAGAATAAATATTCAACCTCATTAATCGGTAAATTCAATAAGTCCTCACGTGAACCATCCAAATTCTTGGATTTGAATTTATTAAGAGTTTAACAAACTCAACCTTTCTATCGGTAAGTTCATTATTTTCTTCTCATTTAGGACTACCCACTCCCTCCGGGTTATGAACTTATTAAGAATAGATACTCAACCAAAATCGGCAAATTCATCAAGTCTTTCTCACTAAGACAACCCAAAGCCTGGGCTATGAATTTATTAAGAGCAATTAAGCTCATCCTAGGCATGCACATCATTCATCATAGGGATAGGTAGTAGAAATGTGCACTATAGGCCTTTCCATGATTTCGTTTGGCCATATGGAACTTAGATAACTAAGTTGGGTATCCACCATAAATTCCTCAACCAATGGGCTTTAGACTCATCCCCATCGACGAATCTAAGACCAACTTCCGACTTAACCCTTTGGTAAGTGGATCTACTAGGTTCCTTTCTGACTTCACATACTCTAAAGAGAGCACTTCATTCTTTATTAAGTGTCTAACTGATTCATGTCTTATGTGAATGTGTCTTTTCTTATCATTGTAATCTTGGTTCTTAGCCACACATATCGCAGCTTGTGAATCACACAACAATGAAACTGGATGAGTCGGTCTTCCCCACAACAGAATATCTGCTAACAAGCTTCTGAGCCACTCGGCTTCTTGCCCAGCTAGGTAAAGAGCTATAAACTCTAACTCCATGGTAGAACGAGCAATACAAGTCTGCTTTGATGATTTCCATGAGATTGTTGCTCCACCTAAAGTAAAAACATACCCGCTCATAGAGCTTACTTCATTATTATCAGAAACCTAGTTTGCATCACAATATCCTTCCAGTACCGCAGGAAAACCAGCAAACACAGGTTTCCAATCTAAAGTACCCTTAAGATACTTCAGTAAGCGTTCAAGAGCAATCCAATGTCCACCACTCGGGTTATGAGTATATCTTCTCAGTCTACTCACAACATAAGTAATATCAGGTCGAGTATAGTTCATTAAGAACATTAAGCTACTGATTAGTTTAGCATATTCTGTTTGGGAAATACTACTTACTTTATTTTTAACTAGATGTATGTTAGGGTCACAAGGAGTTCAGACAGGGATGACATCAAAACTGTCAAATTTCTTTAGCACTTTCTCTATATAATGTTCTTGACTTAAAGAAAATCCCTTTTCAGTTTTGGTAACTTTGACTCCTAAGATTACACCGACTTCTCCCAAATCTGTCATCTCAAACTTAGTGGACAAGAAACTTTTAACTTTGTTAATGGACTCAATGTTAGAACTGAAAATCAACATGTCATCAACATACAGACTTACGATGACACATTTAGTGTCAAACATCTTCGAATACACACAAGCATCCGAACCATTCTCAATAAATCCAAAACTAAGAATAGTTTTATGGAATTTCTCATACCACTGTTTAGGAGCCTGCTTAAGTCCATAAAGTGACTTTTTAAGTCTACAGACTTTTCCTTCCATACCAGGTGCTTCAAAACCTAGTAGCTGCTCCATGTAAATCTCCTCATCTAGATCCCCATTCAAGAAAGCAGTCTTAACATTCATTTGATGTACCTACAACTTATGAATAGAGGCTAGCGCAAATAATGCACGAATCGTTGAGATTTTCGTAATGGGGGAATATGTATCAAAGTAGTCTAAACTAAATCTTTGATTGAACCCTTTGATGACTAACCTTGCCTTGTACCACTGAATTGAACCATCTGGCCCCAGTTTCTTCCGGAAGACCCATTTGTTACAGATTTGTTTGAATCCATTAGGCAAGTCAACTAATTCCCAAGTATAATTAGACATTATCGATTCTAGTTCATCATTAATAGTGTTTTTCAAGAAACTAGCATCTATAGATCTTATAGCTTCTTCAAAAGTTTTAGGATCCTCATCTAACAGAAAAATTTGAGCTATAAGATCTGAAATGGAGTCTAAATCATTTATCTCATAAATAAAGGAAATAATAAAGTCTGGTCCAAAAGAGGTTTCAACTATTTGCCTTTTACTTTTTCTAGGCTCAAAAACAATTTGTTCAGAAGACCAAGCAGGATTACTAGAAGAAGTGGATGAAATATATTCTATTTGTGTTTCGATATTTATCATCGGTTCCTTTAAAGGAAAAATATTTTCGAAGAAAATAGTGGACAAAATAAACGCTTTCACACAACAGCAAATAAAAGAAATACTAAGAAAACAAAGACAAATAAGAAGACATGTTCTCCACTGTTATACAATCATGTTTTGTTATCATCAATTCATGGATTTTAAAGCAAAAAGACGCCCACTTTCTTCTGCCTTTTTTTTCCTACATAAATTGCGACACCAATTGCTCATCCACAATAATAATAACACCACTATCATAGAAACCAAGCAGTAAAAGAAAAGGAACTCGCTTATATTCATTTAACATGCAAAGAAAACAAAAGGAGGTTTCTTGGTAACAATGACGCCGACTGTGAACTGTGCAAGTCTTTCGGCGAAAAATGCAATCATTTAATTAATAAGCAGCGCACAAAATCCTACATCCTCTGACGTTACATAACAATGCTCGATTAAAGGGAGCCACCGTTCATTGATGGAAGGGTTGAGGTCGTCAATGAGCCACCGTCAATCCGTTAGTGTGTAGGGGTAGGGTTGTAAATTTGGAGTTAGGGTTTAGGATATAATTTGGAAATTTAAGATTAAGGTTAATAATTTAAAATTTTTGAATTTATTTTTTAGGGTAAAATATATAAATAGTCTCCAAACTTTTAGGTCATTTACATTTTAATCATTTAACTTTTGAAACTTTTAATACAGTCATCAAACTCTTAGTTTATTTTTATTTATTTCTCAGCCGTTTTCGATTAAATTTTGATAACGTGGCACTTAAGTACCATTAACCCAACCCCCTTCTTCTGACCTTCCGTTGACCCTCCTCAACCTCCTCGAACCCCTTAAGACAAAAAGCATTTCACTGTACGGTAAGTTTGGTCCCGCTAGCATAATCTCCCACACTCTCGGGTGTCCAAAGTGCTGGGCATTTCAACTTTCATTGATGATTTTATTCCTGGTTTCCAGACTTCTCATTTATTACTTGGGTTTTGTCGAAAGGGGAAAAATAACAAAAAATGGACCATATGATTGAAAATCTATTTAATATTGATGAGTGTCAGCATTTGAAGTATACCAGTTGATTTTCTTTCTGGGTTTTCATTGATATTGGTTTACAAATTATATTTTCAACTTGTTTTTTCAAGAAAACATTAAAGGTTTCATGCTAACTTCTACTACTAGGTGTGAGAATGGATGAGGCGTTTTGCTGTCTATCCAACTTGGGTTTTAGGATTCATTAAAGAATTTATTTCTTCTTTTGATGAGATCTATTTGTTAGCGTTAGTGTTTGATCTGTTTTCTTGGATTATCTCTCTATTTTGTCAGTTTATGAAAATAATTTAATTAGATCAAATCGTTTTCATCATGGAACTTATAGATCCATAGTGAATTCATTAGTTTCCTTTTATAGATCTGAGTGAAGGAAGCTTTAGATCTGAATTTTATCTGTTATTTCATTTGATTCATAAAATGGCCTCCCAGATGGTTGGATACACCCGCATGGGATACCTAAGAGAGAGCTTAAGCTAATAAGCTTGCTCTGGAATTTGTCTGGGATAAGAAGATCAGTGCCGAAGATTTGTAGAAGGTTGCTGCTGATCTCAGTTCATCCATCTGGAAACAGGTGTCTGATGCTGGGATCAAGTACATCCCCAAAAACACTTTCTCTTACTATGGCCAGGTGCTCGATGCCACATCGATGCTCGGAGTTGTTCCTCCTATATACAGCTGGAGCGGTGGCGAGATTGGATTCGACACTTGTTTCTCCATGGTATGCCTATGGAGAAGAAAAAAATAACCCGGAGAAGAAAGAGCGTTAAGAGGAGTTAAGTGTCATTTCAGTAAAAACTAACGAAAGATAAAAGTAAAGATAAAAATAAAAAATAAACTAAAATTTCTGATTATATTGTAAATTTCAAAGGTTGGATAATTAAAATACAAACATCCTAAAAATTCGGAGATTATATATATACTTTACTTATAATTCTATTTGATATTAAAATATTAATAAAAATATTACACATCATATAAAATAATAATAAAATAATACATGTTCTCGTGATAAAAAAATTAATATATAAAATTTAGTTATTAAATTAAAAAATTAATAAATAAAATAAAAGAGAATAAAATTCAATGATGATATGTATAATTTACCCTTATTAAATAATGAATACTAGTAATACAGAATGTAAACCAAACTAAAGCAGTTTGAAACTGGATTAGATCAAACCCAAGTCATAAACAAGTTTATCCCCTAGTTCCCACCATAGTCGAAGAGAGGAGATAGTGGGCTCAGTCCAAAAGTACAGTTTAACTTTAATTCAGAAACCCAAACTTATTTACAAGAATCAAGATGAATTTTCTTTCCTTATTTTGGTTCCGGATTGATTAATTTTCCAGTTTGATCAATAGAATCATTTGTTGGGTTTCCCGGACTTTGTTTCTCAATTTTCATATCGTATAAATTCAATTTCTTCATCAAACAACATGAAAAGGAAGAAGAAAGACAGTGGTAAGACAATGGATGATTCCTCCTCCGAGTTGGAGTTGCAGAAGAGCGGCGATTACTCTTTTGTTTGGGATCCTCAAACTCGTCTCTACTTCCATGCCAGGTACTTTTTATTTATTTATTTATTTATTTTACTTTTATTTTTTTAATTTAAAAATTTCAATTATTGATTCTTCCGAATGTCTTCTTGTTGGTAATGAAATTAATTGATATATTCAATAAATTAATTGTAGATTTTTTTTATTTTTTACTTTAGAAACTGCAATCCAATTGCAATATGTTACAACTTGGGCTTTGTTCCTCTCTCTCTCTCTCTCTCTCAATGTGTCATTTTGGCACCATACTTTTGCAGTAGTGGATTTTACCATGATCCTGATGCTGGATGGTACTATAGCAGTAGAGATGGTCTCTATTACGCATTTGAGAATGGTAATTATGTGCTTTTGGACAAGGTAGTTAAACTATTGCCGTCTTTTACTTTTGCTCCCTATTATCACGTTGATTGATCCTATGTTTGCCACTCCTTCCGGTTTAGATTATTGATTGAGAAATGCTTTTACAGGAAGGAACTATGGCTGATGATTCTGTTTTAAACGAGCAATATGCCTCTGCGTTTAATGGTCCCGTGTATCGCTCTTCAACTCTGGGCAATGAAGTAGATGCTTACAATACTGCCATCAATATTGCTGATGAATCTACTGATGCAGGTAATTCTTTTATGCGATATTATGCTGCGGAATGCTTGTATGATAGTTGAGTGAATAATTTTTTTCCTTGATCAGCACAATCTATGAATCTGAGTTATATATTCGTTATTGCAAAATGTCATCTTAGAAAATACGTTTTACTTATGTAAATAATGATCTATTGGTTGGATTCTCATTCACTCTAGTGCTTTAAATCAATTCATGGTACTTCTGATTACCAGGTTTGATAAAGGACACCAGTACTCAAGTGTTGGAACACCCACCGCCACCATCAGAATGGTATGCGGCTTCCGACATTTTGTATCCTATATCTTGGTTCAACAGTTGATTACATATTTTTCTTATGATGGTAACATCTGTCTTCAGGTTAGAAGACACACTTATTGATCTTTATCTTTCTGGTTATAAGTTGCCTGTCGATTCTGCTGCTGATGCAAATACTTCTTTAGAAACAGACGACAGCGAGAAGTTTATGTTTCCTTCTGATGGTCTGTCACATATATTTTTATTCTTTTTTCCCCTAGAAGTTTCTTTGTCCCTAAGATAACTGTTAAAAGTTTGTTATGTTCTGAAGGTGATGTGATGGTGTTTTGTTGAGGGGCAGGAAATGATGAAATGTACGAATTGGAAGAGGGTGAATGGATCCCTGAGGAAAACCATGGTTTCACTGATTCAAGTGAAGTGGTTCCATATGAAGGTCTTGTGACAATGTTGCTATTGTTAATCATTTGACTGATATCCTATTTGCTTGAAATAAACATCTGCTTCAGTTTTGCCTTCAAAGTTTACAACATAAAGGATACTTGTGGTACAAATTTCACAAGTCTAAATCAACACACTGGAAAATTTTCATTCAGGTGATACATGGGATGAAGAAAACTGGCGAGCCCAATACGGTCAAGTCACACATTGCGAAGAAGAGCCCATGCCAGAATTCCCAGTTGTCGATTTATGGGACTGGAGTATGGCAAGAAGACCAAAACAGGATGGAAAAAATCAGGTGGCCAGACTGATAGGTCGGCTGGTAAAACCATCAGCTAAAGTTCACCCTTCTGTGCCTTCTGGTGGCGGTTTATTGAAAACTGCTCCTATATGTGAAGTTCATCTTGACCTGGTACGAGTTAGAACAGGTATCTGCCACTTCTTTAGAACAACTTTTGAGAACCAAGAAAAGGGTGATTCTTGGTTTTTTATCTAGAGGAAGTAAGGGAAATATATCTTTTTTTCTAAAACAACTCTCTTTGCGAGATTTAGTGTTAATGATTCTATTTTGTATGTTTATCCCCCTCCCGCGTTACTTATTTCAGGACAAGTGTACAAATTGCGAACTCCAAGTCCGAGGTACTTGGCTTCCTTGTCGTCATATGATTCTTCTGATCCAACAAAAGACTGGGGCTTCCCTGATTTACTAGTCAATAAGAAAGCTTCCCTCCAGTTTAAATCGAGACAAAATCATAAATCAGAAGCAACTGGAGAGAAAGGCTTCAGAGATTTGTTTATATTGTCAGATCAGCCCTCTACATCTTTGAAGGTAGTGTTTGCTTCCAAGAAGTTAAAACTCCCCAAGTTCTTTAGCTGTCATTATGCATTTGAAGAATACAATTGGAAACAAGAAGTTAATAGGAAAGTATACAAAATTAACTGTGAAAGAATTTGTGACACAAGTGAAGTAGAATAGAGTATAATTAAGGGTGTAATTAAGCCGAGCCGAGCTTAAGCTATAAGAACCTTATGTTTTACTCAAAATATAAGACCTGGAGTTTGGCTTGAGCTCGATTCTCACTATTAAAACTTAAGCTCGACGTGAAATGAAAGTTGAATTCCTCAAACTCTCTCGATTGGGCTCAGTTAAGCTCATCTACATGTAAAAATTAGCTTGATTCTCTTGCTCAACTTCAAACTCAATTAGTGATGTGTGAACTTGTGTTTGAGTTCGAGTTTGAGATTTTTCAACATTATTTAAAAATAAAAAAGGTTGATTAGGTTCACACACTACTCGAGTCCATATTCTATTTGGGTTTACTCAATAGCTTGAGCATCTTGAACTTGACTAATAAAAATGATTGAATCAAAATTGATATATTTTTAGTCAAAATCAAGTAGCTTGTCAGCACGTCTAGTTTAGACCCCTAAGTAAGATGACATAAAGTAAACATTCCGAAGTTTCATGTGAAAATATCTACTCTTCATATGTACCTTTTTGCCTGATTTGTCCCTTCAGAAATTAATTTAATTCAAATATCGTTTATGTTGCCAAGCGAATGCCTAATGGTCATCACACACTAACATCTTTGCATCCAGATTGGAGGTTCAGTTTATATAATTATACCCCAGCTTAACTGTTCTTATCATTTTGTTTCACCCCCACACACATCCCCCCCACCCTAAAAAAAAAAAAGTAGAGCGGAGCTGATTTTTGCTCGTGTCTTACAACTCAAGTATATTGTCTGCCATTTTTTTACACGAGTTTGTGGGCTGATTCCTTTCACACTCTGCCTTTTCCCTGGTCCCTTGTTACAATTTTTTAGGGAAGCCATGTATATCGAGATAGAGCTGCTGAGAGAAGAACCTTGCATGGTGGCTTTGGTCTGGGTCCAGGGCAAAAAAGTGTGGAAACTGAACATGACAGTGATCCTACCTGTATAGAAGATGCCAAATCTGAAGCCTTGAACAAGTCTTTTGGGGAAGGCAGTTATGCCAGACGAATTCTAGAAGGCATGGGCTGGAAGGAGGTGAGTTTCTATCCAATTATATTTTGTTCGACTTTCACTTATATCTATGATATACCCAAGGTGTATGAAATCCTTCATCCTAGATGATTCTTATCAGATATGATTCTGCTACCAATTACTCATGTTGATTGGATGAAATGATTATTTAGACATCAGAGAAAATTGCTTTTGGAATTTAAATATAAAGCCATATAATTTTGAAATTTAAATTGCATGCAGGGGGAGGCTCTTGGTAGCACCAGAAAAGGCTTGACAGAACCATTACAGCCAACCGGGAACATTGGTAATGCTGGATTAGGATGGCCTCAAACAAGGCACGGGTGAGATTGCTAGCCACCATCAATTTTACTAATCTTTGGTTATTATTTTTGGTCTTGGACCTGTGGCGATAGATACGGTGTAGTTCCTCTTGTGTGGTCACTGTCAGTAAAGGCACCACGTCCAAAATCTTCAAAACTGGAAGAACGTCTCAATGGCGTTGAAAAATCCGTTAGCCTTTTTCTGCTGAGTACATAAATTCCTGAATCTTGTTTTAGGCAATAACAAAACAAGGCCTTATAATTTTAACCTATACCTTCTGAAATTTTCACGAGGCTTGCAATTGTTTAGTAGCTGCGAGTTAATGTTTATGGTGCGAAATCACTAAAACGGTTGCGGGTTGTTAATTTTATTTTGAGAAAGAGAAGGAAAAAATGAGAAATTTCTTCTTAATTTCATATAACACGCTGGATTACAATGAGTATTTATACAAGCTAGAGTAAGTATATCTGTCAAACACTTTCCTTTAGTTGGTGTAAAGATATCTCACATTCTCAACTTGTAGATCAGATTGTGTTAAGTTTTATCAACTGATTTGGTGAATATGTAACAAGAGTCTTTGTCATCCCCAAATCCTTCAACAAAATTGAACTCAAATGCCCACCGCGGGATCATTGTTATCGCTTCCACCTTGACTCAGATGTACACACCAGTTTCTGTTGGATCTCAACTGAACTGTACTCGAACCTATTACCTCCCTAACCTGAACACACACCTCTCATGCTGAACTAAGCCAAGCAGCCTTGAAACCCATAACCGAGACATCGATTGATGGCCCGACGCAAGAAAACGTACCAATCCTACACACTACAATTCCAACCATGTACTGTACCATCCTAAACTCAATTAGGCTTAGTGTGCAGACGATGTTACCATGACATAAATATTTTCCATTTTTCCCTTTAAATCTTTGTAATATGCAATCATCATAAATTAATGGGTAAATTACCTGTTTAGTACTTAAATTCTTAGTTCTTTTTCGTTTTAGTACATAAACTTTCAATTTTTTTTAAAATCATACCTAACTTTTAGTTTTTGTTTCGTTTTAGTACGTTGTCATTAAAAATTAATGGGTGGTGATTTGCACGTGGCACCTTTTTTATGAGTAAATTACATCATTCATCACTAAACTGTCTTCCCACTCCTATTTTGGTCACTAAAGTTTATTTTTTAATTTAATTACTTAACTTTCAAATTGCTCCTAATTTAATTATTCTAATTTTTAATTTTATTTTTTAATCATATATTAATAAGATAATAAAAATGTCATTTCATAAAATTTATTAATAAAATAAATTAGAGTGATTAAAATAGGAACAATTTGAAAGTTGAGTAGTTAAATTGAAAATTTTTAAACTTTAGTACCAAAATAGGATTGAAAGATAGTTGAGGGATGAATGATGTAATTTACCCATTAAAATGCACTGTCGTTAAGTTTTTAACAGCTGAGGTACTAAAATAAAAATAAAAACTAGGTACGACTTTAAAAAAATGAAAGTTTAGCTACTAAAATAGATTAAAACTAATAGTTTAGGTATTAAATGTGTAATTTATCCTAAATTAATTTATCAAGCTATAAAGTATTTTAAAATTGTTTCAAACTAGAGTTCCATTAGTAATAGTTCACAAAATTAATCCAAAAAATAATTAAATCTAAGTCTAAATAAAATTCACTTGAAAGCTCAAATCCCAAACTCAAATTTAGATATTTAATGAATAATTTATTTTAAAATTCAGGTTAAAAATAGACTTTAATTGCACGAATCAATCTACTTCAGTCGTTAAAGGGATGATTGTTATCTTTAGAGGTCTTGGGTTTGAGCACATCACCTGTCAGGCGTGTTCGAGCATTCGTTACCAAATATATTGGGAGTCTTTCGAACAAATATTACCTTACAATTACTCTTAGATTAATAAAAAAAATATTTGACTTTAATTTATTAATCTAAAACCAAATCATCAATTCTGATCAGAACAAAATTCAGCGTCTACAAGAATTACATAAATAAAAAAAATAGAACAGTAAGCTGAAAGTATTCATTCTTTTGATTAGAAGTAGCTTATAAATATCAGTATACATGCAAACATATATAAAGTTGGTAAAGAATTAAATGGGAATTGGTTCATAAACCAAATAGAGCATTTGATCATTGCTAATCATATTGGTATCAAGAATTTGAGCAGCATCCTGGGACAAAATGCACCAATAACCATCATTATCACATTCAAAATGCTCCTTAGCTTCCTTGATTAGTTCATCCATGCTCTGCGGCACCCATAGCACCACTCCCCGTCTTTTCTCGCCCTTTTCATGCCTTGGATCAAATGGGAATACTGTGCATTTTTTCTTCCACATCTCACCTGTTATTGCCAAAGTATTATTCACTAAAAAACTACACATCAAATCACATTTATAAATTTAAAAAATTATATGCGTGATGAATATAATCATCATAACTAATTTAACTAATTAAAATGTTGATTAAATTTACCAACAATCAGTTGATCTAATGAGATGAGACATTAGATCTGTTAATCAATGTTATGAGTTCAAATCTTGACAACATATAGGGCTACCCATGATAAATCTCTGCAATATTTTATATGGATAGATCGGAAATCAATGATTATACCTCAGAAAGTAGAGATTAGGTTATACCTCGAATTTGTTGCGGACAATCCAAGAACTCGGCCATTTGAGAGGTTCTTGCAGCTTCAAGCAATCCAATCAAATTCGTATTTCCACCTATGCGGGCTTCATCAATTGGAGTATTCCCCCATCTACAAACATGAGTTGACTTAACAAAACTTACAATTTACGGAAAATTTAGTGACATGAATGAGGATCTAAATGAGAAGAATGATTATGAATTATTTTATATCAATTCGGTCAAAGTTCGGTCAATACTTGAATTGAATCTTTTTAAGCTTGAACTTAACTTGAATTCTTAACGAGCTGAAACGAGCTACTTGATATCCAACTAGAAAAGCTCGCAAACAACTCAAAAAAAATAACATAATAAATTTTTAGAATTTTAAAATGAAATTATTATTAATATTAATATTTAAATGTTGTTATTATTGTTTTAAATACAACTAAGACTTTCATGAACTTAAAAGGTTTATGTTCGAGCTCGAGCCGAGTTTAAAAATTTTAAGTTCGCAAGCTTTCGAGTCGAGTTTCAATTCTTATTTGGAGTTCGAGCCGAACTTGACAATTTTAAGCTTGTGAGTTTTCAAGTCAAACTCAACAATACTCGAATTCGACTAGAGTCGTATACAATCCTAGACATGACCTTTAATCTTTAAAATAAGAGAACTACGCATTTAGTACTTAAACTATCAGTTTTAGTACGTTTTAGTACATAAACTTTCAAATTTTTTCCAAAATCATACATAACGTTTAGTTTTCATTTCATTTTAGTACCGCCGTTAAAAACTTAACGTGTTTAGTACCTAAACTATCATTTTTAGTCTATTTTAGCACCTAAACTTTCAATTTTTTCAAAACTTAACAATAAATTTTGAACGGTGGTTCTAAAATGAAACAAAAACTAAAGTTTTTAACGGCGGGTACTAAAATGAAACAAAAACGGACCAGAACTGATAGTTTAGGTACTAAACGCATAATTTACCTTAAAAACAAAAATTATCAATCTACAGATTATACCTGTCTTTTGAGAAAACGCTAGCGCCTGCTTCTACAAGTGATTTGGCCATAAAATACAGCCCTTCCGAGGCAGCAACATGAAGCGGTGTACGGCAGTCATAACTCTTGGCATTTGGATTAATGCCGGCAGCCAAAACGCGGTTTAGGAGATCCAAATCCCTTCTTGCAACCGTCATACAGAGAAAACAACCTTCATCGTCCATTGCTAGTAATGCTCCAGCTTGCACAAGTAAACAAGTAACTCTGTCATGCCCATGCTTGGTGGCTTCAAGTAAGGGAGTGTTCCCAAACTTATCTGATCGACATTAAACAAACTTCATTATCTGATTTCCCCTCAAATATGTACAATGTAACCGAATAAGATATTTAAGTGTCGGATAGTTTAGGTAAGTAGTACTCCTATGTAGGGCTGTCATAAAAGAAACTTACCCGATATGTTAATCTCCACTTTTTGTTCAATAAGAAAACCAGTAATGTCTTCATATCCTCTGGATGCAGCAATATGCTGTAAAAAGAGCCCTTAAAACCAACCTAAAACAAGGTTCATATTTGTTATATTAAAGATAAACAGAAACAAATAAATGAGCTTACATACCAAGGGTGATCTTCCATCATAGTCTGTCCTATTCGGATCAGCTCCAGCTCCAATAAGACGTTTCAACCGGTATAAGTCTCCGTTATAGGCAGCACAATTCAACCTTGCAGCTAGCTCCGATTCGAGCTTTCCGATATAGAGGGTAACGTCCGACTCCAGTATTTCATTTTGCATATTGGCATCTTTTCCCTGTATCAAAAGATTTATTTCAGTGGAGACACATTTGAATGTTTTTGCCTCCGAAAGATGCAGGAAAATAAGATTATGTTTTGTGTTGATTCACCTCTAGGAGGTTGTTCAAGATAATTCTTCCATCACAAAAGTATATCTCAATCATCTCCATGAATGATCGTTTATCGAGTCGTAAAACCCTAGACAACTCACCAACTCGGATTGTGTAAGGTTGAGGAGTGTTGCAAAGGAAAGAAACTTCACCAAAAGAGCTATAGGTTTGGAGATCCATGAAGGAATTCCCAGTTTCATCATTTTTGCCTCTCCCTACTTCCACCTGTGCATATTAGTAAATTGTCACCTGTGCTACCAGTATATAGACAGTCAAACAGAAGCTATCATAACTGGCAAAGGAAACGGATTCAATAAAGATGTTTACAATTTAATCATTCGATGTTTTATAAGGATAGTCGACTAGATATAAAAATATAGTTTATTTTAAGAACGTAACAGAAGGCAACAACATGGAGGTGGTGGAAGAAGATCTTACCAGTTTTCCATGGCAAACAATATAGAGTTGGTCCACTACATTTCCCTGTTCAATGATCACTTCCCCGGGGAGGAAAAACTCCTCATGGACTTTAATTGCCTAACAAACCAACATAAAATATCAATTTTGGTATGTTTTATTATCAATTTTTCTATCTTTTCAAAAGCAGACATAGCGTTAATTTTTTGTTTCAATTTTTATGGGTAAATTACGTCATTCATCACTCAATTATCTTTTCACTTCTATTTTGGTACTGAAGTTTAAAAATTTTCAATTTAACTGCTCAACTTTCAAATCGCTCCTATTTTAACCACTCTAATTTATTTTATTAATAATTTTTGTGACATGACATTTATTATTATTATTTTATTGTTATATAAATAAAAATAAAAAATAAAATTTGAAAGTTAGAGTGATTAAATTAGGAGTAATTTGAATGTTAAATAATTAAATTAAAAAATTTAAACTTTAGTGACCATAGTAGGAGTGAGAAGATAGTTGAGTGATGAGTGATGTAATTTACCCATTAAAAAGGTGCCGGTGCAAATCACCCGTTTAAGTTTTAACAATGAGGTACTAAAACGAAATAAAAACTAATCGTTAGGTATAATTTTGAAAAAATTGAAAGTCTAGGTACTAAAATAGACCGAAAGTGATACTTTAGGTCCTAAATGCATAATTTACCCTATATATTTTTTCTGAATAGTCAAAGTAGTATATTTTTATATTCCAACTTTGAACACAGAAGATACGTTGAAGAACAACCAGATGCCGTGTTTAACCGAGGTTAATCTTTACACGAAATGATAGTGAAAGGAAGTTCACATATCTAGGGCCCAAAATATGCTTAATGGCTATAAACAAGCTCCAAACCATCCAATTGTTTCTGATTGACCACATAGCTAAGTTCATTCTTTGAGCAGGGCATCTTTTGAAAATTGAAAGACAGTTCCATGACAAGTTCACATGAAAATAAAAGGATCTTTTGAAAATTAATTGGAAAACTACTCTAGAAAAAGGACTTACAATTTGCTTAATGAATCCTGTTGAGCAACCCTTGAACAGAAAAATTTGTTTGATGAATGGCTCATATAATTTCTGTGAGATCTGTCCGATAAGGGTTTATTAGGTAAAACATCAAGAATAAGCTTTACGGCAAACATGCCAATACGTACATACAAGAAGCACTTTTAAGCAGTTGGTTATAGAATTTGAGCTTCCTATGAACCGGAAAGACCATTAAAGATAAAGAAGTTCACCTTGGTGCGAATAGAAGCTGGAACATCTTGAAGAGCAGTTGCCTCGGTATAACTGCGATCATATGCTAATTTTAGGTGGCCCCTAACCTCCCTCCTTATTTGCTTGTCAAGATTATTTCTGTTCATGTATTTGATAAGGTCGGCCATTTTGTCCCTAAACCTCTCCGTCTTTGAACCTTTCACTATCAATGCTGCCATGTTACCAATGAGATAAGCACCAAGAATCATGTCAAAAGAAACATAAATCATCACAAATATCATTTCTCTGACGTTGACGGCATGTATGTCTCCATAGCCTGCAGAACCAAGAACATGGTCAACAAGGAGCATAGAGAATCTCGAGCCACTACCACTTCCCATGTTAGAAACAAAATATGTACTACTTGTTAAAAGTGTGTCCAAAACAGGATATAACAAATAATTAGCCTTCTTCAAAGTACATAAAAAACCAATATCACACTGAGAATCACATACATGAAATCTTCTTCAAAAGATAAACAGTTCCCTATGTCTCACCAAAGGGTGACTTGTATAGACAAGCACCATGTAGATGCAAGATTAAAATATAGGGTAAAGTACAAAAATGGTCCCCCGACTATATGGTGTTGCTTTATTTATTCCTTTGATTATTAGAAGTTACAAAATGGTTCCCCGACTATAGGACGTTACTTTGTTGAGTCCCCACTATTAAAAGTTACAAAATGGTCAACCGACTATTCATATATTCCAAATTTATCGTTTTTCATTAAAAATTTGATGGAAATCTGAGTTGGACGCCAACCTGTTGACTGGAATATGATAAAAAAATTGATCTCAAAATCTCAAATGACTATCATATCTCAATCAACATGTTAACGTCTAGCTTAGATGATGGTCACTTTTTTAATGAAAAATGAAAAATTTGGAACAAATAAATAGTTAAGTGACCATTTTATAACTTTTAATAGTCGGGGAATCAACAACCAACGTCCTATAGTCGGGGGCCATTCTGAAACTTTTAATAATCAAGGGACTCAACAAAGCAACACCCTATAATTGAGGACCATTTCTGTACTTTACCATAAAATATACTCAATGGTTACAAGATATTCAATATCCTAAGATGAAGAACCACTATAAATGGAATATGTTTCAACCGACTATTGTTTGCAGAACTGCATTAGAGTTGAGGAAATAATGAATAATACCTTACCTGATATAAAATATAAGAGAAGAAAACGTTGAAGTGAATCATTAGCACAATAAAGTAATAATATTAAGAAGGGTAATTTGTTTAGTAACTACACTATTAGTTTTTGTCTGTTTTAGTACTTAAACTTTTAATTTTTTCAAAATCATATCTAATGTGTAGTGTTTATTTCATTTTAGTACTTTTTGTTAAAAACTTAACTCGTTTAATACCTAAACTATCAGTTTTGATTTGTTTTAGTATCTAACTTTTATTTTTTAAAAAACTTAACGTTAAGTTTTTAACGGGTACTAAAATGAAACAAAAACTAAACTTTAGGTATCATTTTTAGTCCGTTTTAGTACCTAAACTTTCAAAAAAAAAAAATTAAAACTTAACGTTAAGTTTTTAACGTGTACTAAAATGAAATAAAAACTAAACTTTAGGTATAATTTTGAAAAAACTAAAAGTTTAAATACTTATATGGACTAAAACTGATTGTTGATGTTACTAATCGAGTAGTTTACCCTAATAAGAAATCATAATATTAGCAAAAGCAATTACAGTTTCTACAGTCACCCATAATCTCCCAACGGAAATCAAACAAAGGGAAGGGGGAAAAAACGTACCAACGGTTACCATGGTTACAACGGAGAAATAGAGAGATAATATATAACGCTTCCACAAATCAATCTCTCTGAAATTGGAATAACGATATTCACCCATCTGCAAACTTCCGATCCACGTGTATCCTTCCTTGGAAGGAGGAAGCGTTGTAGCAAGATAGTAAAAGATGCAACCAGCTGCATGAGTGCAATAATATTCAACAACAAGAAGCTTTACAATCCGGATGAAAAGGTAATTGATCCGAATGTCTTTCTCCATCTTCTCGAAGAATTCGGTCACTCGTAAAGCCCGACTTAGCCTAATCCACAGCATGTATCTGATACCCTCTTTTCTTCCACAAACCTTGTTAGAGTAAACAAATATAAGTAGACGATTACAAGTTTGCCTTTTGTAAATACCAACAAAGAGAAGAAGAAAAGGGTACCTTATAAATGGCATCCCAAGGCAAACATCCAAGGAAATCAACAATGAAACGGGATTTTAAGTACCTGTAGTGTTATTTGAATAGGAATGAAATGGTTTTTAGATAGGCTAAAATAGTTGAAGAGAATGAAAGAGATGGTTGACCTGAGGGCAATGAGGCGGCGATCGGAAACCAAGCGGTAGGAGTGAGTGTGGCGATAGGCGAGGAAGAAGCGGATGATGATGTCGAGGAGAAAGGCGAGTTGGCCGGCAATGTCTAAGAGGAAAAGATTCTCAGGGAGACCTCTGAAAAAACCAAATTCAAGGGGAGTGAAGAAGGAAGAGTACACTGCCCATATCAGTATGAAATGCGTCCACACCACGTACCACCTGTGTGCCAATCAGACATAAATGGTCTTGGATTATATCGGGTTGTTTTGTTGAGTTTCTCGATTATTAAAATTTACAAAATATCCACCAATTTTAGGGCATTACTTTGATAAATCTCCGATTATTTAAAAATGATTACTCAACTATTCATATATTTCAAACTCGTCTTTTTTATTAAAATGTAGACGACAATTTAAGTTGTACATTAATTTGTTGGTTGAGATATGATAATTGTTTAAGATTATGAGATCAGATTTTATCATATCCCAATTAGCAGGTTAACATCCAGCTCAGACTATCATTAATTTTTTAATATAAAATGACAAGTTTAGAACATATGAATAACCCGAGTGATTATTTTATAACTTTTAATAATCGGTGACTCAACAAAACAACACCACAAAGTTAAAGGATTATTTTTTAACTTTTAATAATCAGAGACTCAACAAATTGACATCCTATAGTCGGAGACCGTTTATATTCATAATTATTTAAAATTTTCATTATAAAAATATATTAAAAATTATCATATATTCTTATTTGATATGTAAAAAATGAAACATAAATGAACATCATGGTGATTTTTAAAATTAAAAATGTTACTGATATATTAGGTAATAATCATATATGTGATTAATTTCTACATAGGACTTTTGGTAGTCTGGCATTATTATGGTTGTCGTCGTCTAGGCCAACAAGGAATAATATTGTCACATTTTTAAAGCTAATCTGAACCTGTGATATTTATGTACCACAAAACAGCATGGATGGCCCAGCCATTAAAAATTGCTTAAATTGAGATAATAATAAATTAGTCTCTAATATTTATTAAAATAATCATTTTAATTATTACAATATTTTATTTTAAAGAAAAAATTTTAATGTTTGATTGGACAATTAATTTGGCTTTTATTATTTTTTAAAATATTTTGACAGTCAAAGTTTTATTTTAGGATAAAATACATTTATTTTAGAGCGTTAAGTATTTACTGATTAACAGTTTTCATCCACAGTTGAGTCTTTTACCTAAAATGAAATATTATGGTCAAAATGCTCCAATAATAATATGAGTCAAAATAATTATTTAATCAAACATTAGAGATTTTTTTATTAGGCCTATTATTAAATTGTTGAAGGTTAAATGCATTGTCGGTCCTTAAAGTGTATTATTTTTTATTTTTATAATTATTTATTTATTTATTAATTGATTGATTTAAATTAAATATAAATTACTTTCTTTGTTTACTTCTATTTTTATGATTATTTTCTTCTCCCAATCTACAAATTCCCAATAATTTATCTCCAGGAACCCTCTATTATTTTATATTTTAAACCAAAGTTTCTTGAAGAATAAAGAACAAATTTAGACCGTTACAATCATGTAATTGTTTGGCTTATGGATAGATTGAATATATGCAATTTAATAAATTTAATTATTATATAATATAATATTTAAAATTTATATATATAATAATAAGATTCAAAGTATAACTCTGAAGTATTTATTATCTAAACTCATATTATTCATGTAGATAAAGAATTAAAACTTGACCAATAAATATAATTTTAATTCTTACGCCAAAATTAATTGCAAATTAAATTATAAAATTGAAATACATAAACGTGTTATTGTTATTGTATTTTATTAGTTATTATCAATTACGACTGATTTTGAATTTAAAATATCTTATATGGTTTAGATTTTAAAATACTTAGTGTATAGAATTTTGAAACAATTAATGAATTAGAATGTTAAAATTAGTATCTATAATTTATAATTGGAGTAAGATGAATTAGTTTTGAATTCTAATTTTTTAATTGTTTTTTGTTGTCCTCCTGATTCCAATGTTTCGTCTTGATTAATCTGGATTGATCTGTGTCGCACACCTGACTTTTGGTGGGTGAGTCTCCTAGTAGGCAGAGATTTTCTGCATGCACAACGACTCGAACTCGAGATTTTGCTTAAGTGATAACAAGCGATACCTTTAAGTGGGTGAATTCTAATTTTTAATTAAAGATGTATGATGACTTACATGTTAAGTTGAGTAACATAAATGTAATGTATCCTTACACTTATACTTACTCATATTGATTTAGATATCTGAATAAAAAATAATATATTTAAATATAGGGTAAAGTATATAAATGGTCCCTTGACTATAGGATAATGCTTTATTGTGTTTCTTAACTATTAAAAGTTACAAAATGGTCTCTCGACTATAGGAGGTTGCTTTATTGAGTCTCTCGATTATTAGAAGTTACAAAATTATCATCTGACTATTAATTATGTTTCAAACTCGTCATTTTTCATTAAAATTTTGATGACAATCTGAGTTATACGTTAATCTGCTGACTGAAATATGATCAAATGACTATTATCTCAGTCAACATGTTAACGTCTAACTCAGGCGATCGTTAAATTTTTAACGAAAAGAACGAGTTTGAAACATTGAGAGAAACTGCTTTACAGTGATCGTTTTCAATATTCCAGACCTTCATCATCATCAAGGTCTTTGGCTTTTATTTGATGTTTACGGCGAAGTGGTAGATTATTTCATACCTATCAAAAGAAGTAAGGGAGGAAATATGTTCGGTTTTGTTCGTTTTTTCAGATTGGAGGATGCGAGAAAGGCTATCAAATGTGCTGACAAAACTAGTATTCAATGTAATGTAGTTAGAGTTTTTATGGCGATATTTAAACCTTGTGATGTTTTTTGGAGAAAGAAAATCTTAGGCCCAAATCCAGTTGTGGTCAAGAGTAGAGTGGAGGAAGATTGTCGTTTCGAGGTTCCCATTGTTGGGTTTGTTGATGAGGATAAGCTACTAACTCTTAAAGATAGTCTGGTAGGTTGGTGTAGAAAGTTTATGAAATGAAATAGTTGGTTGCTTTTATGCATAAGGAAGGAATTTTAGGTCTGAGAATTATGAGGTTAAGTGGTTTAGCAATCCTAATTATTTTTTAAGATGAAGCGAGTAGGGATTTTACACTAAAACATCAGAATGAAGCATTGCAGAACTGTTTTGAGAAAGTGGAAGTGTGGTCGGAGGACATCCAGTGCAGTAGCCGTCGGGCATGGCTATCGTGTAAAGGGATTCCATCTTTTGCGTGGAGTCATTCTACATTCAGAAAAATTATAGGAAAATGGGGCGAACTTATCTCCATTGAGGAAGGGACTTTAAATATCGGCTCGTTTGATAAGGAATTGCTTCAGATTATTATGAACTGTCAAGCCCGAGTGGATGGCTCTTTCGTTTTGCAAGTCGGGGATAGGTTTTTTTCAGTGTTTGTTTCTGAGTTTGAACCCTATTTCAATCCTGATTCCGTTTGGGAAGACTCGACTTTGATGGATATGGAAGTTGCCTCTCTGTGTTCCACGGTGGGGAAGACAGTAGGCATATCGTCAGTAAAGTCTCTTGAGAAAGAGGAAGATGGCCGAGCTCTCCTTGATGGGTTGATTGTTGAAGATGGTTCGTGGTCTCCAGTTGCAGTGGTAGCAGATGTCGATTGTCTCGATGATGTACAAGCCCATGCATATGTGTCCCAGTCAGTGCGTAATGGGGATGGTGAATGCGATTTTTTTGGCCAGAGAAATGGATATCTTAATGCTTTGGTGGATGGTAGTGGGGCGTTTATGGGAGATGCGATGGAGTTTTGCGTTGCTTTTGAAGGCCATTTGCATGAAGAATCCCAGATAGTGCGTTATGGGGAATCTGAGTTTGTCTCACTTTGTCAGAGGAGTGGATTTTCTAGTGCACTAGAGGTATGTAGTTCGGTGCATGCGGGTGATGAAGCAGATTGTCGGGCTATTCTAGGACTTAATGCACATGAATACGAAAGTGTGGGGCGTTTGGTTTTTGTCTCCAAGTCAATACTTAGTGGGGAACCAACGTGTAATTCATTGTGTCAGACGAACGGTTTAAATAATATTGTGGAGGAGGCTAGTGGGGCGCAAGCGGGTGATGTGGGGGAATCATGTGCAGCTTTGGAAGTCAAGGGGATCGCTGAGCAGCTTGGGTCTCCTGTTGGCATATCGAATAGGGCCTCAGATGTTAGCAGCGAGAGTTTGGTTTTACGCCAGCCCAAGGTTGGTTCCATCTATCTAAGTGATGAGATGATGACCAATAGAATTAATAGGAAACATATGAAATTTGGCTCTTTATTGGATATTCAAGAGAAAGTTCTTTCGAAAGTTGAGAAAAATAGAAGAGATCGAGCGTTGAAGAGATTAAATTTGTTGAAATCTGATCTTAATTCCTCTGAATTATCCGGTAATTCTTTATAAGATTCGGATTTGAAGAAAAGATGAGATGCTTATGTTGATAAGTGAGAAAATTCATCGATAGTTAGTCGTTGTTTTCCAATATTAGATTTTTTGGAGTTTGGTGTGTGGTTGTCGGGGACGGTCTTTTTAAAAATGTTGGGTTCTCCTTGTTTGCTAAAGCGTGATTGGCTCCATCATCCGTTCTTGAGTTGTTGCATTTGCAGTCTCGAGTCCCGCTAGATCATTATGTGGCTAGTGAAGTCCGAGGTTTTCTTTTTATGCTATATTTGTGGTGTTCTGCTTAGGCCCTTGGCGCAGGATTTTTTGTGTTTCTTTGTAGCAGGGCTAGCATTAGTCTGAGGGTCGGATTGGACTGCTTTATTGTTTGATGTAATTGAGAGCTCTTGCTTTCGTTTTATTCCACCTCATGGTACACTCTTTTTCCTCTAAATAGGTTTAGGGAGGTTTTTAATGAAGTTGGGGTGGTGTACCTTGTATATTTTCAATACAAAGTACCCATTTTACCAAAAAAAAAATAGTCGAATGATCATTTTATAACATTTTATAGTCGATAAATTTAATAAAGCATTATCCTATATTTTGGGAACCATTTGTTTATTTTACCCTTAAAATATTTGAACTTACCTATATTAAGAGATCTTAATCAAACTTTTTGAATATTAGAATTTGAATTGATATGGTATGATTCCAGTCGTTTTAGAGATGACTAAAATTGCAGGGATAAGGAAAGAAGAATGACGAAAACAAATATACGTTACCAGTCATCAGGATGAATGATGAATCCATGGGAACGAGAAGGTTCTGTGCTTCCACTAACCATATCCCTCCCAACCCCGCTCCAGCTCGAACTCGACTCGTTTTTCAACAATGATAAAGCCCTCTTCCACAACGGTCTTCTTGTCGACTCCTCCTCCTCCTCGAACCTCTCTTCGTCTTCCGACTCCTCGCCTCCTCGCCGCATCCTTAGATCCATCTTTGCCGATGAACATGATCAAAATAACGATTTCGGAATCAACAAACAACAACCAGAGTGATGAAGTAAGTACATATCCGCACAGAAATCAGGATTGAAGCTTTGACCAAAAAAATTGCATACCTTGTGGCTTGGACTAATCCTTGCTGCTGTGGTGTTTGAGTTCACGAACCGGAATTTAAAGCATTTGGCATTGAACAGAAAATCAGAATCATTTGAAGGCATTACCAACAGTAGGAATTACTGCAGAGAGAGAGAGGGAGGGAGGGAGGCATCTTAATTATTCAGTTGCGATTTACATTTGATTTGAGAAAGGATAAAATTAGAATTTTGAAAAGCAAGTTTGTGGTGACACAAAGAATAGCTCAACAGTATTTCAGAGAAAAGCAAATCTTTATCTTGTAATTAGTCTCTCGTTTGAATTAGATTTACCGCTTTGAGGAATATTACAAGGAAGGGAATTTAATTTTATTCATTATATCAAGTTTCATTAGCACCATCACCATATTTATTTTTTTGATTGTTTAGTCGGTAGTTACGTATAATCAGATCATCTCTTTTGACAAAAAGGTTGTTTGTCGATGTAATCAAAATTATATAACAAAACAACTTGCTAGATTATTCGGTTTGCTCTCCATTCCTTTATAAATTCGTCAAGCGTCTCATTCAACAGAAACAATGAGTTTGTATGAAAGTTATTTGGTTTTGATATTGGTTGTCGTTCTTTTAATTTTCTTCGTATTTTTAGGTTTATTATTTATTTTTGTATGAGTATTTTGGTGACTATTGTTTCTAAATTTATGTCTTTTTTCTGATGCGTTATAATTTTGATTCCTTCTATTATTAACAAAATTCATTTTTCATTGTTAAAAAATGGGTTAACTACATAGATGATAACTTATCTTTGTGTTTTGTCCACTTTTGATCAATACTTTTGATCATTGATTTCAAAAAACATAACATATGATCACATTTATTTTTATTTAATTAAGATATTGTCACTTTCATTTTTATTTAATTAAGATGTGGTCTCTCCAAAGTTAACAACCATTAACAACAATTAAATATTTTATATAATCACACATTTGGCCTATGTTATTTACATATTCTCTCAATTTAGTTATATTTTTAATAAATTAAAATAAATTTAATCCTCCAATCGAACGATGCCACATGTAATGCTAATAAGGTTGTTCAAAAATATCCGACTCGATTAAGATGTCTCGTCGACCCGCTGACCCAATTAAAAAATATTAGGTATTTATACTAAAGATATCTTATTTTCTCTGTGGGGTACTCGGTCGGGTTTCTGGGTTGAGCATGGTTCACAAAATGTTGGTTAACTAGGTAGCCTCTGACCCAATACTCGATTTATTATATATTTTTTATTTTTATTTTATATTAATTTTTATTCATAATCCAAATTATTTCACTCTAACATTCTATAATCCTAATTTCTTAAATTTTGACACCATAACGTTCTAAATTCTTAATTTCTTAAATTATTTCACATTAACGTTCTAAATTATTTTTAAAATATTTATTTTAACTTCAAATATTTGAAATTTAATTTTATCTATTTATTTTAAATTTTAATAAATTTTATTTCAATTATGTAATTTGAATTTTTAAACATTATGTGTGAATTATATATATATACTTTTAAATTTTAGAATTTTTTATATAACTTTTTTTTAAATAATGTAATTTAAAGAAAAAATTATAAAAATTATAAAATTTATGAACTGAGTGTCTGTGACCCTAATTATATATATAATTTTATATATAGTAACTTAAAATATTTTTATATCAACTTCTTAAATATTTTTATTAACTTAATTTAAAAATATTTTATTTTTTATTTTCATTTAAATATATAATTTATTTTAATTTATTAAAAGTATGATTAAATTGAGAGAATATGTAAATAACATAGACCAAATATATGAATATATCAAAATATTTAACTGTTGTTAACAACAGTTAGCTCAGGGTGACCATATCTTAATTAAATAAAAACAAAAGTGACTATATCTTATGTTTTTGAAATCAGTGACCAAAAGTGTACAAAACACAAAGAGAAGTTACCATCTATGTAGTTAACCCAAAACAATTACATCTAGCAAATAAAGGATAAATTACTTATTTAGTCACTTAACTATACGATAGGTTTAGGTTTGGTCACTAAGAAAAACGTTTTGTCAACTAAGCACTAACTTTACATTTTCATTTTATTTTGGTCATTGATCGTTAAAAACTTAATCGGGATAATGGTGTGGCGTGGTATGGTATGATAATAGTTTTAGTCCTCAACACTTATAAACTCTATAAATTTGATCTTCATTCCATAAATTTGTATTTAAAAGTTATATCAATTTAGTTCATCTTTCTTCTTCATAATCTCTATCAAATCTTAATTATTTATATATCTATTTTTTTCTCAATAAAAAAAATGACGAAAACTTTCTGAACTCCTCCTCTAAGCTCCAATCCACCTTCAACCTCAGTTCTCTTCCTTGTTATCTCATTAAGCCCTCAAAGTTCATCAATAAAACCCTCAAGTTCATTCCTTTAGTTTACGTTTTTCCTTCCTCGATGACACACTTCATATAACATCTGAAATTTCTTATAATCAGAAAAACATCGTTAATCGACTGATGTTTACCATAAAAATATTTCTGAATTGAAGGTATGAATATTATTTCGTGTCTCACCGTCATGATTATACAATATGTTAAATATTAAAACTCAGATGCATTTGATAAAAGTAAAAGTGACCAAAATGTGAAGAAATGCAGGTTTAGTGGGCCAAGTTGTGAAATCAAGCTTTAAGTATCAATATTTTCATATACAGTACTGAAACTCCTCATGTGGTATCAATACTCAAATTCATTTTTCTTTGATTGTCGAACATCAAAACCTTATAAGATATACTTGATTTTGAAGAAAGATTTAATGAGGATTGTGGGTCTTTAAAAAGAGTATACATATGAAGCGAAATGGATATATGTATCCATATTTCTTCTTTCTTTGCTACATGACTCCTTTCCCTTATTTACTAACATGCAAGGGCCTAAGATTAAAAGAACCCAAAATACTTTAATGTATACAAAGTTAAACAATTTCTAAGTCTTATGGTATTGGTATTTTCTCTTGGGTGTTGATACCAGGTGTAAGGTAATGATACTCAATGGGGATTTTGATACAATTTTTAGCTTAGAATTTTGGGGGGGAAATAAATGAAAATCACTAGGTAATGAATTTAGGGGGGAAATAAATGAAAATCAATGGATCGGGGTGAGTGGGGACAGTCGCCCCCTAAAAATTTAAAATTATCATATATTTTAGATTTTTTTCTATATATTTTCTATTGAAAATATATTTTCGTCTCCTCTGAAATTTTAATTTGCCCCCTAAGTTTAAGTTCACCTCCAAACATAAAATCATGTGTGTATCCCTGGTTGATACTCCTGACTAAGCTATTGATACTATAAATTGTGTGTCGACATCTAATGTAGATGCTAATATTTAGAGGAAAAAGTAACTATTTTATGATCATGATAAAATTTAAAAGAAATAGATGCTAAAATTTAAAAGAAATAGATGCTAAAATTTAAAAAATTCGTGTTAAAATAATTTAAACCGAATTATTAATTTTCAAAACGAATTTATTTTATAATTTGTTTGATTTATTTGTAATGTTTTTATGTTATCTTTAAAGTTTTATATTGATTTAATTTTTTAGATTTCCTTATTATATTTGACTTTTATAATTAAATGGAGAATTAATAAATATTAGAGATTAAATTTATAATAAAATAGTATGTATATATATATATATATATATATGAATAATTAAATTTATAATTTCACATATTAAAAGTAGGATAAAACATAATTATTATCATTTATTTTTTATATGTTCATTTTTAAAGTGATTTCATTGGTTAGAGAGGATGTTGTTCTTTCTAAAGGTCTTGAGTTTAAGACTTTAAACAGTTATGTCTGCGGGTGTGTATATTGTGAATGGCTAAAAAATTCTAAACATATATCTTATAATCGTCTTAGAATATTGAAAAAAAGTTAACAACAATTAAATTATTTTATTTGTTTTGAATAATCTAATTTACTCACTATTAAAGTTAAAAAAGACATCATATGTTTTTATCAAATAATAATTAAATAAGATCTATTAATTGATAAAGTGATCAATAATATTTTTAGTATTTTATTTTGTATAATTAATTGAGAGTTTTTAGAACATATACTACTACTTGTAATAATCTTAGATTAATAAAAAATAATAATTAAATGAAAAACCTTATTCGTATGTGTAGGGATGGACATAAGTCGAGTTCGGTCGGGTTTTTGGTCAACCCGATGAGACCCAAAAATTATACACCTCTATCTCATCCGAACCCGACCAAAAAATTATACACCCTCCACCTGACCAAAATATTTACACCCTCCACCTGACTTGAACCTGACCAGTCCTTTTGATACAAAACTCGAATATAACCCAATTCGACCTGAAATAATATATATATTTTTTAAAATATTACTTTTATTTAATAAAGAAAATAAGATTTAATTGAAAAAAATATAGAGAGAGGTTTTATTGTAATTATCTCTAAATATATAAAATAATATAATAATTTGTTCGGATCAAATCCAGTTGAGTATTTTTCACCGTAAACCTGAACTCGAATATAATATCTAAAAATTCTAATTCAACCGACTCGAATCTAATATTTTTTTAAATTCGACCTAATCAAATCAAATCAAAACTCATTTTTTTTGAATCAGATCCAGTCGAATATTTTTCACTCTAACCCTGAACTCAAATATAATCTCTAAAAAGTCTAATTCAACTCGACTATTTTTAAAATTCGACCTTGTCATAACCGTTCTTTTGGTGGGCCCAGAATTGGGCTTCGACTTAAATAAAGCATGTTAGAGTCGCCATCGATTATTTTTTTTAAAATTAGGTTGATCGGACACCTTAATTTACCATCTTACCTGATCTGCGTTTTACCAGAAATATGTCGGATTTGAGAGTCGATTACAGCCAATGAAGGATTAGCACCCTTGTAATGCCCTTTCGGTACTAATTTAATTTTTCGATTGTCTTAATTGAGAAAATTAAAATTTAAAGATTCGATTTACTTACATTTGATTGGTTAAAATTGTTCCTAAAGAGTTAAAAGAAATATTAAATTGTGAAATAAATATATAAATATAAAAAAGTTAAAATAAAAAGAGTTGAATATAACAATATTAAAAGAGAAAGGAAAAAATAAAATAAAGTTAAGAAAATATTAAAATTAAAAAAAAGAATAAAATAAAATAAAAAAATGTTAAATTTTGAAAGAAATA